TGTACTTCATTTATCTGCCTGTTCTGCTCCCCGTTCTGTCTCTGGTGAATCCTCTCACCTTCTGCATGTCTGGCCTGTACCCCAGTTCTATATGAATAAATAAATAAATCTTTTAAAAAAAATCAGTGACTTGTTTTAAGGAAATAGAACAAACAATTATTAAATTGATATGGAATCACAAAGGCCCCAACTAGCTAAAATAATACTGAGAGAAAAAAGATTGGAGAAATTACGCTTACTGACTTCAAACACTAAAAAAAGTGTTTGCACAGTAACAGTAAACAAAACAGTATAGTCCTGAAACAAAAACAGAAACTCAGACCAATGGGACAGAGTTGAAATCCCAGAGATAAATCCAAATAAATGTGGACAATTAATCTTTGATAAAGGAGTTATGAGCATACAATGGAGAAAAGATAGAATTTTCAATAAATGGTGCCAGGAAATGTGATTAGCCATGCAAAATAAATAAGTAAATAAAGCAAGGCCTATATTTGACACCATACACAAAAATTATTTCAAAATGGGTTGAAAATTTGAATATAAGAACCGAAAACATAAAGTACTTGGAAGAAAATATAGAGGACACAGTGTAGAATAGCTACCACTAAGATTTACTTGGATACTCAAGCCCAAAAGCAAAGGAAACAGAAACAAAAATAAACAAGTGGGACTATATTAAACTTAAAACATCTTGTAGTTTAATTAAAAAAAAATCACAAAAACAAAAAAGGAATCCATGGAATAGGAAAAAATATTTGCCTACCATACAACTGACAAGGGATTAATCTCCAAAATTTACAAAGTACTTATACAATCCACAAAGAAAACAACCCAATTTAAAAATGGGTAAAGGACTTCAAAGGTCTTTTTAAACATTTCTTAAGAAGACATGTAGGTAGCTTAGAGTGACATGAAAAATATCCAACATCAGACATTATAAGTGAAATACAAATTAAAATCACATTAAAATATTAACTCACCCTTGTGAGAATGACCCACATTAAAAAGAAATGGAATTAATAAATGCTGTCAATAATGTAGTGAAAAGGATATCTACTGTCGGTGGGAAAGCAAGCTGAAACAGCCACTGTGACATTGTATAGAGATTTACAAGAAGTAAAATTGGAATTTCTGTGTGACCCAGCAATGCCTCTATTAGGTATTTATCCAAATAATATAAAATTCTAATACAAAAAAAAATGTATCTACACCTAAGTAAATAGCATTACTGTTCACAACTACTAAGTTATGGAACCAACACAAGTGCCTTTCAACAAATGAATGGATGGAGAATCTGAGGAGCATAGAATCAACAGAGTATCACGCAACTTCAAAGAAATATGGAAAGGTGGCATTGGCGACAAAATGGATGGACCTTGAGGGGATTTTACTGAGTAAAATCAGTCAAAAAGTGAAAGATAGATTTCGGATATATAAATATAAATACCCCAAAACCAATTATATGCAAACTATAGAAGAGTAAAACTTGAACTTGGCAAAAAGAAGAAGGATAGGAGAAAGGAAAAAGGTGGAGGGGGATGGGAAGGATGGGAAAGGGAGGTAGATAGGTGGGGGGATGGGCGCGGGTGCTGTGGTAGAGGGCAAAAAACAACAACAAAAAATGAAGAATGGCAATATTGGAATGTCTGTGTCTAGAATCTCTACATACAAATTAGGGGGAGAATATTTAAATGAAGGAAATTGATTCAAATAACCAGTAGGTTAAGTAGCAGGGGGAGTTAGGAATATAGAACATATACAAACGTTTTGGTGGGGATCTCTGGGTACTTCCTTCCAAGGAAGGAAAGTGACAACAAGAAATTGGTAACTGGTAATATTGACTCGTTTATAATTTGTGGACTCCTAACATTGAGGTTATCCAGTTCATGTCTGTGGTGCATATTGGACACTGGATGTTTGAGAACTATGTTCAACACTTGGAAAGGATGATGTGAGATGACCCTGCAGCTATAGTGACTTCAATGTGCGTGAAGCTGTGAGTTCTTTACTTACTTATGACATTGTTAATTTTGGGACAGTGTTTAATTTCTTCACGCAGGTGTAGTCCCTATAGTTCTCCCACAACTATAGCACCCATCATTCATTTCCACAGTGTCTGTGGTGTTCTTCCCTCCCCTGTTTTGACCCTCCTCCCATCCCTCCCCTCCTGTATGCCTCAGATCTGTGGTCAGCTAACAAGTTTTGTCTTTTCCTGACTCTGTTTAGTTTCTCTATAGTGAAACCACAGAAAATATCTTTTTCCTTCTGACTTATTTCACTTAGCATAATACCAGTTCCATCCATGTTGCCACAGATGTCATGAGTGTTTCGTTTTTGATCACTGAGTAATACTCATTGTGTATATATAGCACATCTGGATCCATCCAGGGGCATTTAGGTTGTTTCCATATCAGTGCTGCAATAAACATAGGAGTGCAGGTTTTTGTGTTCTTTGGGTAGATTTTTAATAGTGGATCACTGGGTATGTGGCAGGTCATCTTTTCTCTTTGAGGGAAACTCCACACAGCTTTCCATAGTGGCTGGACCAGTTTACATTATCACCAACAAGATAAAGAGTGTTCCTTTTTCACCATATCCTTATTGTTTCTGGTTTGTTTATTTGTTTGTTTGTTTGAATATTGGCTTTACTCACTGGTTTGAGATAGTATTTTATTGTGGTTTTTATTTACATTTCCCTGATAATAAGTGATGTTGAACATACATTCATATGCCTGTGGATCATTTGCATTTCTTCTTTGGAGAAGCATCTAACACTTTTACCCATTTTTAATTGTGTTGTTTTCTTTGTTTTTGTTGAGTTGTGTAAGTTCTTTGTTCACAGTTCTTTGTTCTGATATCAGTCCTTTATCAGATATATGTTGTGCAAAAATAGACACTCTACTGTCCGTTCAATAGAGAGTTGCCTGGTTTTGGAATACTTAGCTACTTCTCTGTGGGAGCAAAGAAGACAGGAATTTATACTAAGCCAGTCTGGGCAAGAATCTTTCTATATTCAGGAACTCTGAAACTGAGGTACCAGCCCAGAGTGACTTAAACATAGTGAGTTCTCATTATCCATTTGTAGAGAACATAGTTAAACACATGGGGATAAAAAAAAATTGACTGAAATTCTGATCCTTTTCTCACTGAAATTCAACCTTTTGAAATGCAATCGGACATTCCCCCAAAAGCAGCCTACTTACTCATTCTCAAGTTACTCAACATAACCCTTGCTGAATGCTATAACTGTATCTTGCCTGATGGTTTAAGATGCTGGATAGAAAATGGCATATCTCTAGGGCATGATGTCCTGTTGCAACAGCAAAGTGCATTTTTTCATCAGTAGGTAAGTTTGTTTACTTAAGTAGAAATTTTGAAACCTCAAACTGTAGGTAAAGTCTTTCCTACATTTTTATGTAATATACTCTCCTCCTTATATATACTTAAAATTGTAAGCTTCAAACACAAGTTCAAACTTGTCACCAGGAACATCCGTCTGTATGGAGGTAGGATAGTCTTGGACTCTCATTGTCATCTGCAAGATTTCTCACACATTTCTCTGGGGACAAGTGCAAAATCAAGGTGGCCATTGTATTTCCTAGGGAAATAACCAGTGTTCTATTAGGCAAGTTATAACTCTTATTTCCACTACGCTTTCCTAAATGTGTGGCCACAACCACAGAGTCATATGTTTATACACTTTGCTGAATTTGTGCAAAGTGTGCCACAGGGAATGAGGTTTAAGAGTTGTAAGATAACAAAGGACTATAGTAGCAGACTAAAGGTGCTTGAGTGGTGGGGTGATGGGTACCCAAATGTGAATATACTTGAGGGGGGAAGTCCCATACTTCAAAACACTAACAAGGATGTAGACCAATGGTACTTCAATAAAAATTTTTAAAAAGTTATAGAATAGAAACATGGGAAAAGTGCTAATGAAAATCTGCAGTCATTGCCCACACCAATTCAGTTAACATGTCTTGGGTTCCAAGTATAAAACAGGTACATTGTATAGACATTCTCTCATTTAATTATATAATGCTAGCAAATAAGGATGACCTCACCAACAGAAGATAAATGAAATGGAAAATGTAAGGAAGATTAATATAAGGACATCTTGGGTGAGCAGTTAAGTATTGAGAGTTGGGAAAGCAAAAAGGATCTTCAGTGATTCCTTTCCGGAAAAAGAGGGTCTTGGATAGTCAAGGCCAGGGTGAAACAGGATCAACTGGATTGTGATCCTGGTGCTCTGAACAACAACAAAAAGTTCCACCTTTCTCAGCATTTGTCCCAGTGCTAGAAAATAGCTACCTTCCAGGAAGAGCTCAAATTTCTAGGACTTAATCAAAGCAAATTTGGGGAGCTCTTTGGAAGCTACAACTGAGAGGGACTCTGTGCAGTGGGTTATTCTAGTCTGGAAAAAAGATTGAAGACCAGACACAGGAAAGGTCAAGTATTTTCTCAAGGTCACATACAGTTCAAAACATTCCATGTGTTCTAAGGCATTGAAAGAGTAAATCACTGTAGATGCTTTAGAATAAAGCCTTCAATGAACCCTGGCCACAGTAGCCCACCTGTTTCAGGTTTGTTGTTTTTGTTGGTTTGGTTTGGTTTTGGAAAATACTTGCTTTGTGAAACCGTGAGCAAACATATTTCTGGGCCAACTTAATGACTGACTCTCAGTCCCACTTCAAAGACTGCTGAGCTTTTCTTACTTCACCTCACCTCATTCCTCAGACCAAAACCGGGAAATAAAGAACCACTAGAAAAGAGATGCAAAGAAAAGGCAGCTAAAGTCGTCTTATGTTGATGCTTTCAGAAAGGTGGTTCACGTCATTTCCAGATCCCATGAACAGTCTCCTAGGTATCACTCAAGTTAAAGAGACGGGACTTTTCCCTCCCCCGCCCTTCTCCACGCATCAGTGGAAAAGGAGGGAGGAGACCGATGTGGGGGAGGGGGGGTGTGGGGGGACAGCGAGAGAGGGAGGAAAGGCAAGGAAGGGGTGCTAAGGAAGTAAGAGATGGAAGCAAGAAGAAAGGCGCGTTAGGGGTGGTGGAGAGCCCGGGGCGTCTGCCCGTCCGCGCTCTGGACCCGCCCGAGCGCGGCGCCCGAGCCCCGCAGCGCGCAGCCAGTTCCGCGGCCCCGAGACCGTGCGACGCGCCGCTGTCCGCTGGCGTGCCCGGCACCCCGCACTTTAGTCCCTGTGCGCCCACCTCCCGGACCTGGGGGCCACAGTGCCCGCCCCGGACCGCTGCCAGGTAGCGCTCGCGGTGAGTGTGCGGCTCTGCGCCCTGGAAGGGAGCGCGCGGCACCACTGCCCGCCCGCAAGTGGGGAAGGGGAGCGGGGAACCCCGCAGCAGCAGGGCTGGGAAGCCCTGTGAGGCCGGAGTCGAATTGCTTTAGGACACTTCTTTAGGGTAACCTAGCGGCCCTTGAATTCAGGAGTCGTTTCCCTCCCCGGCTCAGCGCGCAACCTCTGCACCGGGGGCGAAGTTGAGGGGAGCAGGCGTGGACCTGGGCAGAGCAGGTGGTTCCAGACTGGGAAGGAGTGGCTGGATTCAGGCCCAAGGGCGAGAGGTGGCCTCGGAGCAGATAACATCCCACTTGGTGCGCCCGTTCCCCACGCTCTCGCTCTCGCTTTCAGGAACCGCTGGCCAAAATCCAGTTGGTGGGACTGGAAAGTCTTCAAGTCACCCTTCGGTGGGGTCTGGCAAGGACTCCGGGAGCATGATGAGAGAATTGTGGCGAGGGGCGGAGGCGCAGGTTAGGGCAAAGGTTGCAGTTTTCTGACTTGACTCCGCGGGTTTGAATCGCAGAGGTAACAGGGCAGGAGACAGCTTCCACCGCGCGGTAGCAACATGCCTGAGCGGCTGCAGGTCTTACCTAACCCAAGACGGTCTTTTCCTCTCTAGAGGACTAATTGGGCAAAGGTAAAAGGAGGGTCTTAAGGGTTCATGCTAAGGTTTCATGTCTCCAAATGCACAAGGGAGGCCAATCTGTGTGCCCTGAAAGCTAAAGAATGAAATTAAGTTGAGAGTAAATACTTAGAGGTGTGCATTTTGCACACTTCAACTACTGGATTTGGACGTTGGGTTATTTCCAATTGCACAAAAGAGGTGATCCTTGACAGGACATCGGATGGAAGCAGAAAGTGCCCAGCCAGTGCTGGAAGAAACCTTGAGAAGACTTCGTTTTTTGCATGTAAAGTATTTCCCAGGCACCTTGAGGATTATGATGTAGTTAAGCTGATTTGTTCGGTGGACATTAAAGATGACATCAGAGAGAACATCACCTGCCCTTCCCCTCAGTTGTTCTGGGAATATCTGTGTAATCATTGCAGTTTGATTACAATTTTGTGGGTGTGTTATGCCAAAAGCCATGAAGTTCTAAGTGGGTTTCAATTGGCCCTTCGTTTACACACCAATCTTTGGAATTTGTTTAGTGGTCAACACAGCTAATGATCTTCAGGTGTGAGCTGCAGCTTTTCTCCGTGGGTTTATTGAGCTAGGTGAACTGGACCCAGAGCTGACTTTCACTAATGTAATGAGAGTGTCAATAGCCAGGGCTATTGACACCATCCCCTCTGCAGAGTCTCTACCATCCCCTCTGGGCTTACAATTGCTGTTGCTCTTTCTCGTTCCCTTCCTTCCTATCCAAACTCTCAAGCAAGTTCTCACATTTTGCTTTGAACTTCATTCAAGAAAAGTCAAGTTCTTACTCCCTTTCACCCCATTCAAATCTTCATATAGGCTCCCTCTTAATCATGAGCATAATTATGCACTGTTTCCAGTCAAAAGTGGTTTATAATGCTTTGGGTAGATTGTTCACTAAACTCATATGTCTCTACAACAAATGTATTTTCCTGGTATTAACTGAAGAGTTTCTGGTAAAAAAATACCTTATTTACTTTGTCTTATCCAAGAAATGTTAACATACTTTCCATATCCACATTGGTCAGTGCAAATCATTTGTCAAGGCTCATCCACTAAGGCTTTCAATGGGGTTAATGAGCTTAAGTTATAGCAAGGGCTTGTTTCCTTTCAACAGTAAGCGATGAAGATTTAAAGAATTTTTATGACTACTTCAACAGACAAGCTTTATAGATTGCTGAGATTGAGCAACAGCACATTTGAAAGGCAGCTTCTTCAGCAATACAAATTATTAATACTTAACTAGTTTTATAAAGCTCTACAATATGTTGGTCTTATTAAGACTACTATAAAGCTGCTAATAAAGATAATACAGCACACCTTTCTTAAAAGATGTTTTTAATTTAAAATTGTTTTCAAAGACTTTCAAAATTATGACGATTCTTAATTAGAAACAGAGAAAGTGATAGTTTGAATTTTCTTACGTAGTAAATGTAGTTCCTTTTGAATCTGATTAGCTATTACTGAAATCATTTAAAAATATTTTCATGGTGCTGACTAGAATATTAGCAATAAATGGCTGAGATAAACAATATAAACCTCGTAATATGTGAAACTCCATCATAGATTCTCTTTCTTCAACATTAAGAGATGGGAAGGATGCTGTTTGAGGTAAACAAAATGCAGTGTGTTGCTTCCTGATTGCTATTAGCTAAAAGTACTAATCCTGTGGTGGTGGAGTTCCAGGGCCCCAGTGCGCATCTGTACTGAGTCTAGATGCTGCACTGTACTGTGTATAGAACCACAGCTCCTGGGTCTCACAGTAAGAAACCTTGCTTTTCCATGCCCTGAGCCTTAAATTAAACAGGCAAGAAATACTGATTTCTTCTATAAGAGTGAAGAACCCTTAAAATGCAATAGGGAAACCAAAATTGGCATCTGTGATAGAAATTGTTACTCCTGCATGAAAAGGCATAAAGAGAAATGTGTTAGAGCCTAGGAATGAACATAAATTGGTAAAAGCTAGATTACCGAGTGCACACAAGAGGGGGCTATATTGATTTGGCAATTTCTCCAATTCTTTGATTGTGTTTCCTTTTCATAGAAATAATATGAGATACAGAGATTCTACTTTCTTCTTTATTCAGTGGGAAGTCATTCCTACTATCTCATCAGGATCTTCTTGCCATTGTGTCAAAATGACCTGTTGAAAATAAGAGGGGACGACGCAAGGAGGTTGTTTCGCAGTTACTATAGTTTTCAAGTTCATCTTCACTAGAGTGATAATAATGGAGACCGAAAGGAATAGCCAAATTATGGATGCATTTGAAGTTAAAAGCAACAAGAGTTAATGATAGATTATATGTTATTGCTGGCTAAAAGAATCAGGAATAGGTTTATGCCCAGAACAACTGAAAGATTGCATTTATCACCAAATGTGTATGAGAAGACTGTGGAAATGCAGTTAAGTTTTGAACAGACTCTAACTATCCAGATACAGCCATCACCAGAGTAACTGGGACAGAGGTTATGGGGAAAGTGAAAGTTAGAGATAAAAATGTGCCAGTCATTCATATATGAATGGTACTTAGAACAATGGAATTTCATGAAATGGTTTTATGAGAGAATGTGATTAAAGGATCAGACTGAGAAATGAGCTCCACCACTGTCCAAAATATAAGCATTGATAAGAGTAGAAGTTAGAAAAGGAAATGGAGAAGGGACAGTCAATGAAATGAGAAGAAACCTTAAAGAGTGCAATATGCAGAAGCCAAAATAAGAAGGTATCTTAAGAGAAAGTGATGATAACTAAGTCCAATGCTGCCGAAGAGTTCAATTATGGAGGGCAAAAACTTACCTTCAAATTTTTTATCACCTTGATTATAGCTATTTCAGTTGAAATAGGGTTGACCAAAGATTTATTGAGGACCTAGATTTTAATCCTAGGAATTTACCTTATGCACTTACTTATACTTAGGAAAAATAATGTGTTTAAAGTTACTCCCTGCAGCTTTTTATATAAGTAAACTATTGAAAGTAATAAATACCTATAAATAATATACAAGCAAATAAGTTATTTACATCCATTCAATAGAATACTAGCCAGCTGTTAAAATTATTATGGCAGTTTTCCATGTTCTAATATAAAAATATCTTCAATGTATATTAAGAGGAAAAGGTGCAATGCAATATACATGCTCTGTTTTTATTAAAGGCAAAATTTAATAAGCCTGTGTATAAAAATACATATGAAAAAAGTAAACAATTGTGGTTACCTACAGGGAGGAAACCTGAGGGTACAGAAATGGAGAAGAAATTGGCTGTTGTTTATACTAGAATACCTTTGAATTATGTGTGTATAGATTAGCTATTCAAAATGTCAAATAGAATTTCATATATAAATTTGAAAAAATATATTTGTACTCTGAAAGAATAACCAAAGACAAGAAAGGATGGAAGATTTAGAAGTGGCTATTCTTTTTTTTTTTTTTCATACAGAACTGGGGTATAAGCCAGAGGTTCAGGGGTAGTGAGAGGCTTCACCAGAGAAAGAGTGGGAGCAGAACAGGCAGATAAATGAAGTACACTGCTGAGGGGAGCTGCGGGTGGGTCAGGAGAGGTCTGCCGCACCATGTGGATCACCTCCTGGGCCGGGGATTGAACTTGCACTGAAACGGCTGTGGCCACCTTACAGTGCTGCACCCTAACCTGTTGCACCACCAGAAGGGGCCCAGGAATGACTATTCTATATAGCTAGTTCTTTCAAGATACTTTCAAAAAGTGGATTAAGGGTGTCTGGAACAGGTCATGGAGATTTGTTTTTACAATGGGAACAATCAGTGTTGGAGTAAACCAATAGGAGTGAACCAAACAGAAGGAAAAGCTTATTTTTTAAAAAGAGAAAACAGGAAAACTATGGGAGCAAAATTGTTTTAAAAAGTGGTAAGGGAAGCAAGTCCGTGTACTGGTGAGAGGCAAAAATAGATGTCTGAGAATAGAGACAGTTCCTAAAACCCTCCAGATGGGGATCAGTCCTTTGGTCTTTCTTCTATATTCCTAAAGCTAAGTGCTGCAACATTTGTGTACATTTTGCAGTTAATGCTACTTTAGTCTTAGGTCCAATCTCATTTGAACCCTCAACCACTTTTCCTGTCATTTCTTACTGCTGCTTGGCATACTCTCGGGATATTGATTGGTGAAAGCTTAGCTTGCTGATCTACTTGGGAATTTTGACAAAATGAACCAATAACTACACGTCTTACACTTTCCACATGAAAATACCTTTCTTTCTCTTACAGAAATTTAGTGGCAGCTATCTCTTGATCTACCTCTAATACTTTTTAATCTTTTCCATTCATTTGGTCATCCTCGTGTGATGTCCATCCTTAGCTTTCTTCTCC